TAGGGGCCCAATGACCACAGTACTGCAGCAAAATGCTACAGGACGCAATAAATGCTGCATGAATGCTAACAGCCAGGCAGGAAGTAAACCAAATGCCTGAAAACCCTCCTGACTATATTTGCTCCTAATTTTTAACTATGTTGAAATCCATTTAACTATATACAGGTATGTAATATAAATACTGCAAAAAAAAGATGTCTTACCAATGGTTTGACATTATTGGGATCAAGAGTATTGTTGAGAGCTGTCTTGGCAGCTTTGTAAGGATCCCAAGCTTCTACTAAATTGACAACAATTCCCATGTATATACTGATCACCTATAATGTTTAAAAAGGTTAACAAACAAACAAAACATGCATGTTAAATAAATATTAACTTTTTTCAAAGAAATAACACTCAATAGCAAAAGACCAGTATGTGGGTGAATGGATAGATAAATGAGTGGATGTATGACTAATCATGGTGGTAGGACTGAGTGGAGTCCACTTTAGTCTGTAATCGTAATTATTAGTTATAAACAAAATCAGATGACCACAAAGCAGGACTTCCATTTGTCAATCACAAGTATGATTACAGACAGAACTGGACAATAAGAAGTCCAGTTACCATTTAATCATAACTGTTAATTAATAATTTTCGAAAAAAACAAATACATTTAGGATTAACATCTTCGGTAGAGAATATTTCTTAGGTGTAAGAAACTCCTCCATTTTGGAATTTTCCAAGTTTCAGGATAAGTGGTTGTTGCTATGGTTATTGTGATCAATTCTGCGAGTAGCTGAGTAGACTAGGTATGATTGGTTACTTTAACTCCAATTATGGGTGTTCAATTACAGCCAACTGTCTGATTACACTTTCTGATTACAACTGTACAGAATGGTTAGTGAAAAATGAAGCAGCTAATCACATTTGAGGAAACTGTAATGGTTATGATTAGGGAAGAAACCACACATGCATTGGAAGTTCAGTGCGAGAGAGCCAACATCAGTGTAATGGTTGATTCTAACTGCACAAGACTGTTTTACTACCATTTCACAAAAAATGGTTAAATGATTAACTGTTATTGCATTGCAAGCCAACATACAATTAATCTGCAATTATCTTACCCAATTATCAGGGAAGTGTTTGTCCACAATCTCTCTCATTTTAGCCTGCTGGTTCTGCAGAATATCTGGTGCAAAAAACAAGATGACATACAACATGGAAGCCTGAGTAGCAAGGGCTGTACTGCGATGTTCTGGCAGGGGGTAAGCTGAGATCTAAAAGACCAAGAAAATTATAAATCAAGAGTAAATAAAGTCTCTATTAAAAAAAAATTGATGATATGGCACCCTTAACCTTCTAACAAACCTGATTGTAGACATCGTCAGACCGCAAACGGCCAATGAGCATATCCACAAATGAATCAGGGAGGGAGATTCGCCTTAAAAGAAAGAATGTACAAAAGTTGAGAACTTTGAAAGAGACAACTAGACACTCATGAATATGTGCTCATTTCTTGCATTATGACTAAACATTGGAATCATGCACATAGGCCAATTCCTTAAACCCTGTTTAACAAAGTTCAGCACCAGTAGTTCCATGGCCTGACAACTTGTGATTATCGATAGAAAAACAAAAGAATCATGTTTTCAATGGGTTTTTTATTGTTTGATTTGCTTTTACCCTTATTGTTTTGGTTTTACACATTTTTTTGGTATCTTTCAGAAGATATTTAATGAATAAACCTTGGGCACTGTTTTGAAGTTCCAAGACAATTTCCTAAAACTTTCAGGAGTTGCTAAAAAATTTTTGCCCTGTGTGTTATATGTCATTGGATCTTGTGAATTAACTTGCATTAGATTTAGAAATGCAAACAGTCTTGAAACAGATTTAGGATGTGAAAGCTGAGAGGATACAATATTTACCTAAAATAATCCTCTGGATATTTTAAAGGTCTCTTTGCTCCTGGAACATTGGAATATCCAGTACTTCTTAGAAGTTTACACACATCATCAAGATTTGAGTCTACATCTGCTCTTGCCGCACTGAAATGATGAAATCAGTACAAGAGACAACATGTTATTTCACATCATGCTGAACATTAAATCTCCCATAGAGCTACTTCATACAAGACTGGTACACATGTTCAAGTAAGTTTAACTTAATTAATTGCAGGAAGTAAAGCCTGGAAAAATAATTTTGCTTGAAACTGTATCTTCTACATACCAGTTTAGTACTAGTACTTAAAGCATGGCCACAAAACTTCATCTTAGGAAAGAGGTCTGTTTTTGTGAGTTGCACTAAAAATTTTTCCTGCTCCTGAAAATGTGGCTAATTATTGTATAAAAGAAGTTTAGTTGGTAGTTCTCAACCCGTACCTCTTGAACAGAACATAGTTGATAATGGTAGGGCTTAACATGACTACACCCATCTTACCAGTATCTGTGATAAGACACCAACATCCTCTCTCGCACATCTCCCTCAAACTTCATGTCAATTACTAACAGCATAATCCCATAGAGATACAGACTCTCACACTGTGCCACAAATAAAAAGTATGTTAGTATCCTTAAATCATCTCCTAAATAAAATTTTTCTAATGCTATCATAAAATATCATGAATAGTGAAGCACCACTTGACAAAACAGAACAGAAGGCTATGTGTGAAAATTAGGCCCAGTCTCAAGGCATGGTGCTGCAGTACACCCATGGCCTCAAGATCACAGGCACACCAATACACTTTAAGCTTAAGATTGAGCGACTGAACACTAGTCTTACAATACTTCCATGCATTGCTTCTAATTTGACATTTCTAGAAATTACTTTCTCTCAGTGGGGTGTTTATAAAAATAAAGTGCAAAAACAAATACGAAAACTATCATCCTATTTAACTGCAACAGAAGAGGTTAACACCTCCGGTAATTTCATTATTAATCAATAAAGAAAGAAATGACAATGTATTTTAGAAAAACGATTCTCACCATGAGCTGTTTACCATCTTCAATAAGAAGTATACTCTCTAGTGTTTGTTGTATGAATATTCCTTCATCAAGATCTTCAAGATATCTGGAGATAGAAACAATCACAAATGATTATACTGTGAGTATTATAAGTAATATTAATACCATTCAATAAAAGAAAAAACAAAACAACAAAAAACAACAACAAAAAAGCATGCAATCACACTGTTCAAATTATTATATCCGTACTCATCCAAACTGTGTCATAACAGAAAATAATGTTGACACCCCTATTATAATAACATGTGATTTACTAATTTTTCTTTTATGAGCAATAATATTACTGTATGATTCTGTTTTAAAGTGAGTTTTAACTACAAGTTCATTTCTATTTTTCTCTGTTTCAGATGTTTTATACATTTTTACATAGAGTTAAATGGTATCACTCAGTATTACATAAAGAAGTTCTAAGATATAATTGTATTTACATGATAAGCTGAATCTTACACACAATTTGATTGTTTCTTACTTATGATCTATTGGAGGACAGATGCTTCGATAATATCACAGTTAACATAATCATGGAAAACAAAAAGATTCTATGATTCTGTGGGTCTGTAAAGTAATAGATTGCAAAAGACCTCAAAATGTGGTAAGAACATCAGTGAGACACGCAGCTGTCTCTCGTGTGCCACCTTTTTCATTCTTAACAAGTTTTGCTGTCATCTGTGATATGAACAGATGCACAGAAACGCAGAAACATAGAATCTTTTTGTATGTTATTATACCAGGTACAAATATTAAAGCCATATCAGTTTCAGAAATTTCAGATCATAAATGTTCAGGGGAAAAGTAAACAAGTATTGTTTTCTCAGATTGGTTTTTATTTGTGTGATCTATAAGCAGCCTTACCTGTTGAGATCAGTAATATACTTGTGGACACTTTCAAAGGCTTTATAGAATCTAGTCAGGATTTCAATATGATTTTCTCTGAATTCTTCATCAAGATCTTGAAGGTCCTACATATGAGAGAGACATATGAGACTTTACATCTAGAAATCACACACATGATCTAGAGGGTAAATAGTTCCATATGTTGACATAAGTGCAACATATTTTTTTCAATAGCAATCAGTTGAAAAAAAAAGGGTCAATATTTCCAATCCTGTGACTACCAAATCTTGATTTTACCACAATCTTCATGCAAAAAAAAAAAAAAAAAACCAATCAATCAAAGTTCAGCAAACAATCTTTAAGCAAAAATCTTTCTAGCCAAATTGCTTACTAGTGTAATTTAAAAACCAAACAAGCCATCAAACATACTCATGACTATTAAACAGGCCTCAGCCCCTAGTTAATCTGTCTCACTTGAACTTTTGTTTGCATCCATACAGGATGGTGCTGTGATGGGACAGAAGGGAGGGGATGGAAGTGGGGAGGGAGGGGGAAAGGATGGAAGGGGGGAGGGGAACAAGTGTTTGTACAGTTACAAGTGAAATCACAATTCATATCAATCTTTCACAAGAATTTTCTCAATGTATATGACCTGTGGATTAAAAAACTATGCAGTCATGGATCCTAGCTCTTATCTCCCATACACATATATTTCTATGTGTACTTTTCTTTCGTTTCGATATATTTCCGGTTTCGAAGTACTAACCTGTAGAGGGGGTGGGTAAGATCATGTAAAATATACACAGAATGCTCTCTTTCTATCTACACAGCAAATAACTCAGAGAAGATAACATAATGTAAAGGACACACAAAAAAATCCCAACCAACAACTGCGGAAGCGAAAGTCAGCTGTTTTCTCAGCTTACCGGCTTGGAATCAATTCTATTCTCATAGTAATCGGGTCCCTTGAAATAGGAGAAGTCTGCTAAGATCTCGCCATATTTGTCGCGATCCTCTTTGGTTTCTTGTTTAAATACAGGAGGTATAAAGTCAGAGAGGCGCAAAAGCTCGGCAACGATGGCATTTCCACGGCTAACGAGCTTTAAAACAGTTTGCCCGCAAGCGTTGTTTTCTGCAAGGAAATCCACCATCTTGTGCTGTCATCATGTGACTAAAGCCTCAATTTATTCCCATAATGCCTTAGAAATTGAGAATTTCAAAAAATGGCGGCCACGGGAAAAGGCCGACTTTCCCACTTCAGATCGAAATTGGAGGTTTGTGGTCTTTGTTTACGTTTTCTGGATTCGAAAAACAACATTTAATAAAGAAGTCTTTGATTAAAAGCTTTTTCCACCGATAGAAAGTTTTATTTCTTTTGCCTAAGAGGAACTTTCATCTTCCAAAAATGTGATCTCTGCTGTTTTGGTCTTGATTCTCAGGAGCTTGACTGCCCATATCTAGGTGGTGTGGAAGATTCGTGGATAGAAGAACTGTTGTTTAAACCTGGAGAACCAAGGTTGAGACTTTTGCAGTGGGCAATAGGAAAGTATGACGACAATTTCTGAATTGTTTGACCATATTTATGTTGGTTAATTATAAAGTGATACGCAGTGTGCATGTACCAGTGTAGGTTCGACAATTAATTATGACCACGGTAAGATTTCTGCACTGCCCATACTCCACTAGGCATGCTGTTCGTGGATAAAAATTAATGAATAAGACAATAGAATGCGGAAATCTTACCATGACCACTAAAATGGAGACTACACTGTAGTAGTATTTACACAGTACAAGCAAACTAGTACATTTATAAGGGAGGAAGATCAAAGTGTATCATCTTCCTTCATCATGCACATACAACAACCGGTGTAAAACTCTAAACATTCCATGTCTTTATGCTACAAAATACTGAAAC